ATCATATTTTTTACTTTCATAGTAACGTAAGCCATAAAAAGTAAAAAAAAAACAAAATCACCTTCAAAAAGAAAGGTGAAACTGAGTAAAATGAAGACCTTTAAAGAACATCTCATCTCAGGGGTTAGACATCTGTGCGCGGGAGTTGCTTTCAGGAAGTCTCCCTCCTCTCCAGTTTGATCAAGATGCCTTTCTCTGGTCTGAGGATGAGCTCTCCTATGGGTTGCAGCTCCTCTCGCGTCTGCAGCGACTGGATGGTAAACTTCCGCAGAATGGAGGATAGAACCACTTTTTCTTCCATCAGGGCAAACCGCTGACCTGTGGAGCACATTCACAATTCTATCGCCAGCCAATCACAGCAGAGATCAACCAGGATGTTGAAAAAGGCAGCCGGTTCTCACCAATGCAGTTGCGGAGTCCAGCAGAGAAGGGGATGTAGGCGTAGGGAGGCCTGCCTACGGAATTCTCCGGTAAGAACCGTTCAGGCCGGAACTCCTCAGGCTCAGGGAAATATCGTGGGTCTCGGTGAAGCGCATATGTGACAATGATGGCATTGGCGCCTTTGGGAATCTTAAAACCCTCTGGGGGGGGGAGAAAGAGAAAAAGATCTTAAGAACAATTTTTGGCGAGGTGCTCTGTTGGTGTTTTGTTCGGATTTAAAGAAAAGAATTGAAGTAACTAACACCATGCCACAACCATACATTCAAACTGTCAATCAAATAAAGAAAAACATCCTAATTATAAAAATGTATTTATATTTTTTAATCACATAATGTATATTTGAATGATATTGCCTTTAAAATTACGATATATTATAAATAGATCTCAACAGTGAGCGTACGATAAACGGAAGAGCATTCGCCGATAACTCACTGATATGACAGTCCTCGCAGATGGTGCGTGCGAAGAAAGGCACGGAGGGGAAGAGGCGCAGAGCCTCCTTGATCACACACTCCAGGTACTTCAGTTTCTTCAGGTCGTCCGTGTTTACGGGGCGGTCCGATGAACCTTGGAACATTTACAGGGAAAACACCCGATTAGGTCTGTCACCTACCGATAACAGGAGGAAAGATCGTGTTCCAGCGCCAGCCTCCCTCTGCTCACCTCTTCCCTACTTGTTTTCCGACCCTTGGTGTAGATAAAAGAACCGCACACACGCTATGTGTTTGTTTTGCTTTATGTGATAACAGATGTGGGTAAAAAGGCCCCGATGCCAATGCTACTACTATATCTCCTGCCAATCAGCGGAGAGCTATGTTGTCGGTTGAAAGGCTGTGTCAAAGTCACGGATCATGGTTTATTTTGTTGACTGTTATTAGTCACACATAGACAGGGTTAGCAACAATGTAATATACACTATAT